TACATTCATGTGTCTATGTATGCGTGTATGTATATGTATATGAATGGATATGCGTACACGCAGACCCGGAAGCGCAAAAATCAACCCGAATATTTTCAATTTTCCCTAAAGCAACATGTGAATTTTAGAAACGGCTTCAAATGACCGCCGGACACGGTCGAGCGATTATCGGCATCCAGTAGTTATTTTCCGGCGGTCAGGCTACATGGGGTTATTAAACCGTGCAAAACAGAACAACGCTATCTCCGTGACTATGGCACTTCAACATAGCTTGAGAGGAAATGGGTACTCAGACAACCCGATCGATAATCCAGCACTATTCATTATTATTCGCACATCATAATCCAGTGGTTTATTAAAATCAGCCAAACCAAGGTCTATGTTTCTTACCAGTAGAAAAAACCTGAGTTTAGTTAGAGTAGTCCAGAGAAAAGTGAAATACAATCACTCCTTCTTAACCTTGTCGGTCAGGCTAGTCCGCTTTTAGACAATCAATATTAGTTCAATTGCTTCATTTGTCTGATCACGTAACATTTCTCAACTTCATCTAAATTGCCTTTTAACCATTGTGACAAACGAATATAAATGGATTCTGTTTTGTCTAGTGGATTTGCTTGGTCTGTTAAATCCTACAGTTTGTCTCTTTGAAATGTTTCACAAACTCTCTATCGGGATGGAAGATGAAGACCACGTCAACAGTCCAATCAGCGTACTTCTACAGAAGATTAGTTCTGCCCACATGTTCTTTGATCGAGCATAGCAAAGGGTTGAGCGAACGCGATAACTAATCGGCCCACAACAGAATTATGGGTCCACATGTGCTGTTTATTCATTATACTAACGTCACTGGACGGGACCGGATTACTTTTGATCAGCAGAAGATATGTGGACGGCGACAAGCTACATGACCTCATGATAACACCGACTCGTCTAGAGGGAATTTCCATATGATTTCCCTGACATTTCGCTTTATAAACTCTACACATCACCTTGATGTGTATTTGGTGGCTGCCGCTTCCCTACTCCTGATTCGGAATAGCCCCAGTAACACAGATTTCTTCCTTGTACAAGCCGTGTAGTGGAATGATCCACAGGATATCAGTCGGGAGGAGAGCGCGATTAGAATTTGGTCAGCCTAGCCAAGTGACGAGACGGAACAGAAGCAGTTCTGTGCTCTTACGTCCATACATTCCACATATATACACCGAGCAACGAGTGACCATATCATGTCAATGCATACCTTGAAATGATCACCAAGTTTAAGTAATCTCGCGTGTGAATGTCGGAGTAGAGACAACCGCATTACCTACTCAAACCATCCAACCTAACAGACATGTTTCTTCCTCAACAGCGAACGACGAACGGAGGCTGACCGTTGATTCTGTTATATCTTTGTTTCTGAAAGTTTAATTTCTAACGATAGTATAGGTGTTGCTTCATTGGAAAAGACGAGAAATATCGGCATGCATTACGAAACACACAGAAAATGGATTCTCCCGTCACGGTCCAATGAATCTAATGTCATTCTCGGTTGAGGAAACTCCTCCAATCATACGGATAGCATTTGACATTTAAAAAAATAAGTATTGAGTGAAACATGAGCTTCCAGGTGGTGAAGATAGTCTATTTAAAACAATATGGTTGCATGTACACTGCTGGATGTTTAGCTCGTATGAAAACCCTTCAGCGGGTGATAAGACACCACTGTGAATTACTTGAAGCTGTTATTAGCCAACCGCACAGAACCGCACCCAAGTGCGCCGAAATATCCGGCTTTCGTTGGTCCATTCCGACTGCATCTTCCTGAACACTGTCGCGCATGCTGTACCGGCAGTCAACTAATAAAAACAGCGTACAAATAATGTACCGTGTTACTGTGTCTTTAGCATCATGCCGTCATCTACAACTGCTGTGGTTAAATTGTGGACTCTCCAAAATCTTGGTTGTTGGTCTGTTCGCCGAGCTTGGCATCTGGATTGCAAACGTTTCATTACCAATCGAGGTGACATCGTCAGTGCGGGGTTGGCTTCTACCACCATACATTAAGCCATCTAATCGTATCTTTAGGATGCTTTGTTTTCTCTTTGACTCATTTCTAGCCCTAGCAACTGCAATATGATGGTACCAAAAAAAATCGATTGTGAGCATTTTCTTATCGGGTGAAAAACTAAATTTAAAGATGTAATTTCCGACAAATTGCTCTGGCCTTAGATGACCCGTTTTACTACTAGTTTTTGGTTTTCCAAGTGTTGATCATGTCACGTGCCACCGCATTACCCAGTCGGTGCAAATGATATAGGGAAGGTTTATTTGTGGGCTTTACGGACAGATAAAGGACACCGCTTTGAAGATCCTAACAGCAATACCTCTCTGCAGACTGCCTGGATGATTGGCAACCTCGTCGAACAAAGTGATCAACAAGGGTTGAATCACTGGACGCCTTGTCGTAATAAGAAGCCACAAATGGCCTGTGCACAAGCCCTTGATGCCGATTTACAGCTATAGGAATATAAAAGGTGGATGAACGTGCGATGGCTTGTCTCAAGCAACCAATCACTTTAAGCACAATGGGATAATAATTGACAGCGGTAACCTAGTTGTCATGCAGATATCGGTATCATCAATCAGTTCCTTTAAATTCTACCGTTGTACTGCATATTCACCAGTACAACAGCACTGACACAACTTTGACGTCACAGTCAATAATCCCGTTTTATTCCTTTAGAAGTTTGGTCATTAGTGATGTCATCGTTAAGATGTCAGTGTCAGGCCTGTTGGTCATTAGAAAATAAAACAAAATTACCTTAGGACTAGATGGTCAAATATAGCAGGTGAAATGTTGAGTACGATCGTGACTCGCAAAGCCACTTCTACTAAGCCGCGCACTTCCGCATGTAGCACAAATGCATATATTCGAGACTGCATTTGGGAGATCTTGCCTCTTTGAATGGGGTATTTGATTTGAAGCGCCAAAGCTTCTCATGCCCTTCTTCATTCCGTCCTGTGGAGTGTCAGGTCCCCCCACGATCTGAAATGGCAGTTACAGTTTTTCATTCTCACCTCGAGGCTGTATCGGTGAAGGAAGTTTTGGTATCCAAGATTTTGAAACCCCTAACTGAGGTGAAAATTTGTCGGTACATGTTTCGAGCATTAAGTTCAAGTGACCTAACCATTGCAGCAGACGTTATATTAGACTGCATTCAGTCCCAAAGCAGTTTGGTCTTCAGTAGACTTTAGTGTTCAGGAATCGGTCTTCTCGTTTGATCCTAAGGATTTTGCGCTGACATTGCAACCGAAATCTAACCAGAGCATAAACATATTGTTGGTGCAGAGTCTAGGTCTTTTCGCCCCGCATTGATAAAACAGAACCATGGTGTCAATGCTGGGGTGATAATTATTACAAATTATTCCCAATTATTCTCAAAACAATCGAATGCTCTACTGGCTTGTGCCATGCGACCGCTTAGTAAATTGTCACATGACAGATTTATGGACTGTCAAACTTGGAGAAATCCGTGTAACATGCAATTATTTAGCTGAATACTTGATGCATTAGGTGGAATCCCCGGCGCAGGTTGATTAAGACACACGTTTTGGGAATCTTCATACCTAGTTCAAACGAAGACATCCATGAATCGAACGTCACTTTCAGCTGCTAGTATTCGGCTTCAGAATCGTAAGATGAAACACAGTGGTCTGCAACCTACAGTATACGGTTTCTGCGCAGCTGTTTGGTAAAAAGGGGCTGAACAGGACTGTGACAAGAAAAAAACAACGCCTCAATATGGTATTGATTCTTAACTCGCATGATGCAGTTGCGCAGGCCCATACCCAGGGTTTCATTCCAGTGTGACAAATTTGTCTAGACGGCGAAGATTTAGTGGGACCACTCACAGGGTTTTACTGTTGACTATTTATTTGTCTCATTGACGTCCATGAACAGTCACTATGGTGGTTTGTACCGTTCACAAGCGTCCTTTTGTAGTTGTCCTGCGACAGGTATAAAATCCACATTGCTCCTCTAGAAGGTTTTAGCCCAGGATGCCACCGACTGGTCAGTTGAACAAGACACGACCCGTGATCTTTTATGCCATGTACAAGAGGCTGATTCCGCGTCAGCTGTCTGTTGTATGCAGGTTTCGTTTCCTTTTACGCAGAGGAATCATCACTGTGTTATGGAATTCCTGAAGGTCAGCTAAGCGCCCGATGATGACCTATGTTTTGTTACTAAGAAAGAATTCATGAGATAAAGTGTTATAAAACCTACCCATATTGATAGGAAGGTCTATGAACTTCATTTACTTTGTGTTTAGCTATGCAATCTACTCGGAACATAACACCTCAATATGAAAGAGTTAAATGTGCATTGACTACAAAAAGTGGTTCAGGTGTGCTTGCTGCGTTACTACTCATATACTGGCATCGTCAGCATGGGTAGGATAATGTTGCATAACGGTCATTCCATTGAACTTTGTTAATCAGTGAATGGAACTAGACAAACGCTACTTTTTTGTAACGTCGATGAAGCATAAAATACCTTAGGTGTGGAGCCTGATCGCCTGTCCGGCTGAGTAACTTAATCTTACGCTTGTGGATGTAATGCCTCACTCATAAGGTTACTGAAAACTTCTCGGTAGCACAGGACCAGTTTTGCCCTTCTTGAGGCTATTCAGGTAGGCGCAAACCAATTTCGCTATAGACTCACTTGACACCCAGCTGAATCTCTCGTTTACATTGTACTTAAGCAACTGAATTGCTGTACCAGGTCGTCTAATGTTTCATTCAAGATATAGTAGTGCATGTATCGACGTTATATACTTCTCATAAGGCTGCTGAAAATTCTCCGACACCACACGACCGGTTTTGCTCTTCTTGGGGCTCATCAGGTAGGCGCAGTTCACGAGTTTCTGTAAACCTTATGTTCTACTCAAACTCAAATCGCACGAAATTAGCGGAATAAGCTCATCTGCATACTAGGGTGCTTTTGACAGGAGACTTACCTGGAACCCCGCTGAATCTCTCGTTTATGCAAATGAGTGGATCTCACTAATTTCGTGCAATCTGTGTCCAAGAAAGATATAAGGTTGACGGATACTGCGGGACCACGCCTACCTGAAGAACCGCAAGAAGGGCGAAATCAGCCGTGGGCTCTCAAAGGACTTTCAGCAGCCTTGTCAGTAGTGTGTTACGCATATACATGCATTGCTATATCTCGAATATCATACCAACTGAAACACGGATCAGCTTAACGCAGCACATTCACTTGCTTTAAAACATCATAGTCGAAAGATTCAGCTGGGTTCCAGGTGAGTCCTTCGCAAAACCAAACTGGTTTGCAATGAATGCATGTTGTTATTCTTTTTCTTGTCCCGCGGATGAGAATGATGTGACTTGAAGTATCGCTAGTCAGTCGATTGCGAACTTTGCGAGAAGACTATCAGAAAGGGGCTTACTCTATCTTTTTACGATTCAATATATTTCAATCCTTCAGTTGTTCTATTTACTCCCCGATTCAGGAACAAATCCAGGCTTGGAAAATTTTTGAATCAATCCTATCGTTATCAACGCGAACGGATCGGATATGTTAGCGGTTTCAAGGTCGGTTTGAGTAGAATTTCTCTGAATAATGACAACTTTGGTTTCAGTTACTCTGATGGTAACATGGGATCACCTATATTTAGTTTGCAGTACAGTCTGCAAACCACAGATTGAGTGATTTCATACTATGTTAATGCACTCGATTTATGAGCATTACAGGACCATTAAACAGTCCCGACTAGCCAATATTGGCCATAAGCATTGTATAGAACTGTACTATTTACTACCGTTACTTGAGGGCTTGCTGAAAAATAAGGTAGCCTGTCCGTTGGCGGCTGATCAGACGGCCATTGCAATGTTTGCAGTTGGTTAGCAGGCAAACTGTTAGCTCGGTGAACCGATCGACAGCAACCTGAGTAAATGCCAGGAGATCTATAGACTAATATCATCAACCATGCACTGATGTTGTTTCCCTGTTTGATGACGGAACGCTTGCAAGCTACTATCGGGCTCGAAGAACAACAGCACCAACAGACACCAGATCAACCACCAAAAATACATTAGTCCTATTATTTCCCCAAAAGGCAATTACCTTCTTGTGTATATCAATTCAGTACCGGCTCCTTGTAATCGGCTTAGAATCGATAGGTTTAGTCGAAAGTGGTGAAAGTTTGTTTCCTCAAACGAGGACGTGCAGATAGCACCACTGCACTAGTTCCCTTTACATCCCATTACTATTCCGTAAGTGACAATCCACATGACAGACACGCTTATTCCTTGAGTGATCTTTGAAAAAATATGATTTCAATCTATGTGACCCATAATCCTCATACTGGGTGCTGTATACTAAACTATTGCGCTTCTTTATTGATCACTCACCAAAAACCTCCAGTTTTCGTTCGCAAATATTCCACATTCGACCACCTATTGAGTATATTTTGTTCGACTTACATACTGTACTCCATTTTTACCAAAACGATGGAGAAGCTGAGAAAATCTGGCCATATCACAAAAGTGGCCAGTTAAGAGCGACAAGATGGCTAAGCAAACACGATCGCCCTGGTGAGAGTTGCTACAAGGATTGTGAATACGTGTGGAAACTAAAGGTTAATAAACATATATTCGACCGATCTGATCTCTATTGGTCCAGCTGTCTCTAAATAAAACGCCGTAACAAGAGTCCATATTTGCCAGCATTGTACAGATCTTTAATTTTAGACACCACTGGAAGGTGTTGCACCACTTCATTTTGGACTGCGAATCATTTGTTTTTTTTTCGACCGGTTTAGTCTGACGTCGTAAGTTCATTCATGTGTGTGAGATAAACAGTTGAGCAAACATCTCCAAACGTGTGAACCACCGTAGGCAAGCGTTACTGAGTCGTATTAGAGACACTGATCTAGCCTGATTGGACTAGACAAAGAGACGGGTGAATTCGAAAAACATTCATGATCGATTTACGCTTAAACATAATTGATTGTTTTCTTTCCGTGTGATGCTTGTAGAATGATTACTGTTTAGGAAAGTAGTCATAGGTTTTACAGTAGCTATGGCCCTTGTGGATCCAAAATCCTCCCCGTAGATGTCCTATATGTGACGGACATTGATATACTGTCACTAATCCCTTTGCTTCAGTGTATTAACAGCCGATGTTAACCCGCATATCATCAATCGAGCTAGTGTTCCTCAAAAAGAGTTAGTTCCCTAAGCTAACTGACTGGATAGCTTTCTGTGAGTCATCCTCCTACAGGACATGTTTCATTTCTGTTGTATCTCTTCATCTTCCCTAATGCTACCGGGTTACACTCAGAAGACGATAACGCGGCCAGAAAAAACCGTGTACCAATGCAAATACAGCGCTCTATTTATACTGTTCACTTGTGACCATATTTGGTGGTCGGTCACTGCCCAAACAACCAGTGTGTCTCCTGAACGCCCACACCGGATCTCGAGCGGTTGTTTACGTTGTCACGTTTTGTCACGTTTAGATGGCCGTCTGTGCTCTCCAGTACGGAGTGCACATGTTGCCTTGGCCATCAGGTGGGCGTGAAATGCATGTGTACTTTTTTGACCTTGCTAAGGCTTATGATAAAGTCGGACGTGATTCAGACGCGTGGGCGTACTAGTACGGCGTACTCGTTTCACCACATGCTTATTCTGCTGCGCCGTAGGCTGATGAGCGGCCGTACTAATTTCCATTACAGGCTCCCATCGTATATCACCCACCATATCAACAACCGAACCTGGGTGACTAAACTTGCACTTTTCACGTGTGTGAGGAATGAACGCATGAAGTTCAACCAAGTTACCGAACAAAGTTCAGCATTTCAGCGATCCATCCACATGGACTCAGTCAAATCTATAACCATAGTGTGATCTCGTGGGTGGAAGTGACATATATGACGTGGATTGATACTGTACCCGGTTCGGTGTAAGCTTGGATCACATGGACCAGCACCCGGTTATCCGGTTACCATTGTTATCGTGAAAACTCTGACGTTCATGCAGACGTATAGTAATTCTCATCCTAACACATTTAATCCTGACGCATTATGCTTTTTCTTGAAGGAGGCGAAATCCAAAGCAACAGGAAAGAAGTTACACGCCTTCGGAAGTAATTCAAGCCACTACCTCCCTCTCACCACAAAAATGCACTTCTAGCTGAACTAAGACGTACAAAACCCCACATCACACATACATTCCGATCCAATAACAATTATTGATGATCGATCCAGTGGATTCAACGGCCGATGCACCTCATCACCTTTGTTGAGCACCAGTGAGCCAAACGTCGATATCGCCGTGAATTCCAGAGGTTATTGCTTTGATTTAACAAAAAAGAAGCGGAAATTTGAATGCTATTGGACTGGAGTTGGTGTAAAATAGCGCTAACTAAAAACACTTGGACAAGGCTCGCGATCCCTAGGTGGTTCAAGAGTATGAATTCCGTCTCCACCACATTGGATATTTGAGTCATCACTGATGATGCAACAACTGCTTGGTATTCTAAGAGAGACAAGCTGCCAAATACAAGGAGCTAAATGAGACTTGAGCCTATCGATCTTCCAAATACGGATTCTTATGAGCTATTTGGACTGTCATAACAGGTCGACCCCCACAAACTGCTTCCAAAAAATCTAAAGCACGAATATGCTTTATGTCTAGCCAATATATCTAGTAGAAGCAATCCATACAACACAAGGTGTGAACAGCTGACCCGCTGAAACCAATCAGTGTGTCGCACTTGGAACAAGGCAGGTCGGTTGTTCCAGAACGACAATATTTGGTAATTCTACGTCTACAACGCAATTCCTAAAAGAGCTATGCTGTCTTGTTCGGTAGATTCAGTTAATTGATGTAAAGCTGTCAGTACACACAGAAAACTGCCGTATCAAAGTTCCTTTAATCTACTGTAAAAGTGACCACACCAACTGGAACAACAGTTTCCCTAATTTTACTGTGTAGTAATGATAGACCAAGCCATCAAACAAACTGAAGACATCAGCCGAACTCATCAACTCTTATCCCCCTTGACCATTCAGCCCACTTCTTTGGTATATTGAGTGACAGCTTACCTATGGCTTTTAGAGTTTCTGCGAGTTCAGCTGTTCTGTTTTTGGTGAGGGTAGCCTAGTGTGGCTTACCCATAAACTTTTGCGACTCTGTCCACTGGGCTTTGCTTTTTCGACAGATGTTCAGCCGAGTCGAAACGGAATGCGTACCTAGGCACACCTCTAATCACTAGGTGTTCCCATCCGATCGTGCACCTTTGGGTGACGCAGTGTTAGGTATAAAATATATATGTGTCAGGGGATTTAATAACTGGTCGAACATGAACGAAGGATATCCGAAAAGGCAAACCCATCTCTGAATGTATCTCCTTAATAAACCATAGACGAAACCTGCTGTTTCTCGCTCTTATCTGATATCTGGCCCGAACTTAGCGAACGAATCTTGTGATTAGTCTTTTTGGTTAATAAATCACAAATTCATATGATACTTGTCATAAATCACGTGGAGTGACCGCATGAATTCAAAGAGTACATATCCGTAAAATAGCAAAGGAGTATACACTAGTCAGAGTCATCAATTCAAGGACTGTCGGATATCATCATCATCAGCATATCACCAGTGCTCAACAATAATGCTTCGCTGTTGCGCAACCACAATTTACTTGAAAGCCTTATTGCGAAGAAAGGGCAATGAACTCTGTGCTCCCTCACTACATTCGTTTTGAAGAGTCTACACCTCCCGACGTTAACTCAGGCACCTAACAGTCGGACACAGAAGTGAACTATTCAAAGGCTAACTCAAGCTTGAAGGCTGCATACTTTTCTTTATCACGGAATTTCTGGCCGTGCGGTCGAATTTCAGTCGTCTGTGAGACCGATGGTGGCGTTAGTCATACCAGTCGCAATCGTTTCACAGGTATATGACTCGGAAATCGTGCCCTGTGATATGGTCGGTTCCGGCTAGATGTGACAGTCGCACTTGAACCGGACTTCTAACAAGCGCTCACACGGGGTTGTTCGCGCACTCTGTCCGACAAACATCTTCGCATGAATGCTCGGCACCAACTGAGAAGGGAAAGCACAGAGAAGCTGGCTAAAAAGTTAATAGGTTTGTCTTTCCCACGGAACTTGGTAATCGAGTTTAGACTAGCGAACATGTATGTTAAATCAAAGGAATACCTAAGCCATTTTGTAAGTAGTCCAGCACCCAAAGCACATTTGAAGGCACATATTCTGTCAACCGAAATTTGTTTGATGCTCCTCATTTCTGATAACTTAGGCTTGAAACCCAACTGTGCACAATGCTCATTCTTCGGAAAAGGATAGCTGACAAATGTGTACTCTCGACTGTTTACAAAAATAACTGCATTTAAGGAGCCTTTTTAGAACCTGAAATCCTGACCGGAGGATCACGCATCCGATCCCACCAGACTGGTCAAAATAAGACCGAAGGTGTTTATGTGGTTCAGCTCCCCGTGATCCGAAAATCTCCTTGCAACGTATGTTTTGTTATAGCTATCAAAGTTCCCAAAAAGGCCACTAAAGATCAAGGATATTCTAGGCTGATTTCCACGTGCTCTACCGAGATGACCTCGAGTGTTAGTCACATGTCCACTTGAGGGTTGCCGATAGTAGTCAGGTAGGAAAAATCGGAATGGGGTCAATGTTTAAAAACGATGTAATTAGTATACGAGAACCGTTTTCATCATTTACCTAAGTTTTACGCCTCCGGGAAGATACGGCTGTTCACTGACTCATTTGGGTCGGTCCACTATAACTGAACGTATGAATGTAAGGCTTGATAGACTCGTCACTGTCTATCTACGGGTGACCCGACCATAGCTAATTGGCCACACAAGAAGAAGTGTTCCACATCAGCCAATTGCAAATGACCTTATTTTTTAGATAGTTTACAGTTCCAGGCTAATCAGTTACGCGGGAAATAACCAGCCTTACAACACTCCTATGGACTCATCTCAATGAAGAAGCTGAGACAGCGAATTCTGAACAAATTCATTGCTCGTGGTGTAAAATTCCTCCTATCGTGCATCAGTTACCAGCGCACTTGCAATGAACAATCTTCTGGTGAAGCGCGTGCTCCAGATAAGTGTTCACGCACAACACGACTAAAATTAAAAGACCAAGCATTTGAGTCAGCAGAGTCAGAGAATCCAGTCAACTGTCATCGTGATCTTGCCAGACTTTGGAGACCAGACACAGGGCTACATAAAATAAGGATAGTTGGGATCGAATACTTTGTTCCTTACTGGAGACTCTCACGCGAAACATATAGGCTCTATTTACTTGAAGCCAACAATATAGCCAAATACTTGGGCGTGTAAGCACGTTTCTTTGGAATCCCAGAAGTGTTCAGAGCGTTTGACATTACGCGCGTCTATTTACCGCAGCCATAGTCACTACGAGCTGCGACCACTGTAGGGTCTCAGCCAACGTAATGGATGTGCAACTGCAGTCCTTCTTGCGCTTGCACGTGACCAGACAGAATCCGAAGCTTTGAGCTCTGCGACACCATTGGTTCGGTGTCGCAATAGACTGCTAGCGAACGCACGCTATCAGTGGTCGGTAGCCCATGTGATTGGCTCCTTTGGTTTGTGCGTTCGTGTCCGGCAGAATTAACGCGCGAACCATAACGCTCAGTTGCTCTGCCGGTTCAGTCTTGGGCCACAGGACGCGCATAAGGTTTGGCGCAACCCGCTTCCCGCATGCTCATAAATCAACCCTACTGTTCGGCGTTTTCCAGGTTAGCTGGAATACAAATGAGTAAATAATTAGTGTCATTCAGTATAGTGGCTGATTATCTGCCTGAAATCTTCGTATCCATTACGCCATGTCGGTTACGGAACCTACAAAAGAGCTGATAAATTCTACGGAAGTATGGGATCCCTCTAAGCACCTTCCATCTCCAAGAAGAATAAGCCAGGTGAGTCAGTGAAGGAATTTTGAAACCGAATGTTTTCCCATGCAGCTGAGTTTATTCCAGTCTACCGACAACATTCACTAAAACGTCTGCCAATCGTTTGAATACCCAACGAAAAGGTAGAGAAAAGAGAGATTCCCGCCTATATCGGCTCTTCATTAGGCACCGGTCTTAGTAAAACACTGCAAAAAAACAAAAGTCATAAGCACATTTTACTTCGGGCTTTTATTGACCAGTTTTGGGCTACTGATCTCATATATACATGGGGAAATTGCTGGGGCTGGATACTTGATGTAATCTGTGGTAACCAGATGCATGTTGCTATTTCTTTGCATAATGTGAGACACGCAGGCCGCTTTGAGATTGGGTTGCGACGATATTGACCAAAATGCCTCTGTTGCTGGCCTGTAAAAAAGAACATCTTTCGCTTTTTCTAACTGGTAGAAAGAATCCCACTGAGTAGTTTTACAAATTAACGCTGAGGCAGGCTTTGTGCTACACGGTATGAAGGGGAATATCGATGTGTACAAGACTCCATGGGGTTCCCGATTCAAGCAATTTCTTTATAAATGTGAGCTTAAAGCTGAAAACTTGACCAAACTGCACTTCAGGTCAGAGGTTGATTACTTCAATTTCCGGAATATTTCTACCGATGTGGATGGGACCAAATCGACTTGGCTCTTTTTCGACTGTTTCCTAATGCCTTTGGGTGTCTTGATCCCCAGTTAACCACTGTTTTTAATGAAATATCTCCAAATGATGCTCGTGCCCTCAGGGTGAGGTAGCGCTCTGTGACGACGTTTTGGGAACAGCTGGGAATAAAATGCAGGTAATGAATGAGTTGTTACGAAAATTTACGGCCGTATCCCAGTATGCAGTGGGGTTTGGCTTAGTCATCCGGCTCCTCACAGGAAGCCGCCTGTGTTTAATGATTGTGACAGAATCGGTGAGATAAGCTTTTGAGTAAAGTTATCTAACAGGGAGTGTAGTTTCAGAGGAAAGAACAGATTCCTACGGTGAACTCATCGCAGGTTTGAGCGTCACCTCACTAAGCTTTCGCCTGCGTTTTCACAGCAGACGACAAAGAAGGTGTATGAAATTTAATGTACTCGATGTAACTCCAGAGTGACCCATTCTTGGCTCAAAACAAGGTGAAAATTTGGACCCGTAGGCTCGGCACCGGATGCCATCTTGATGGCACATAAACTGCAATCTTCTTCGGTGGCTGTCATTGGATTGTAGACGCCATGCTTTCCTCCGCTTCCCGCACCAGAGGAACTTCACAAAAGAACCCATAACTCTACTTTGGTTGCTTGGTAGTATGTGTCCTGAGGACCAAGCACGCACTCACAAACAAGTACGGATCTATGTTTATTCACCACGATTCTGTTGCCACTGATTCGAATTGGTCGCTTTCTCCCCTGGTACGCTCCCAACAGCATTCACCTCTTTTTCTCTCCGCTTACACTCCGAATACTTACGCTCCCTATTCATGAGCACTTTGACGAATGGTGACTCAGACCCTGTCTCTGAAACTAACTCACCAACACTGCAGTCATCGAGTCTCAAGAATAGTGGAGATTCTGCAACGTTTATTCGTTTCTGCCTAAGCACTCTTCGATTTATGCATTTGTTCTCCTAGGGATCAGAAATGTTTGACCCACAAACTTTACACTCTCACCTTTGGCAGTGACACTAAGGATAAAGTTATTGGCCTAACACAATTGCGCAGTCGAAGCGACTCCACTTGACTGGATTCCGGTTGTCAGTCAACTTTGTGTTACGTGAATAAGAGGTTTATTTTGGAAGTAGAATGCGACAAGAGAAACGCTGTTTGATCATAGAGCTGCCGGTTGGGTCAAAGACAAGTGGCCTTATCATCTGCCACAGAAAGTCTCGACGACCAGTATCTTGAATCTAACGTATGGTCGAAATGCTCACAAAGTTGTATTGGGATTTTGCTCCCATTTTTTGGACGAAGTGGGGGACCCTACTTCCATACGTAAGCAACGTCAAGCCCCTAGATGTCTAAGGAATGGAAACTTGAATAGGATTGCTAGGAAGATTCACCCACTAGTTGTTTGCTTCCCTTCCTAAGTGACAACGCATGTGACTTTGATGTGTAATCTTACTTTCTAATAATAATCGATTGATCGACAGGTCAAGGAACATAGCTCGCCATTGAAACCGCTGACTAGACGCTGCGCGGTCAAACAGTTGCTTGGGGACTTAGTTGGGATGATGTGAGTCTGGTGTATAGATCAATTGTTAGGGCCTTGACCAATATCTGAGGTTCATTTATCTCCTCCTAAAAGAGTATCCCGGTCTCTTTATTTTTGGAACAAAGGCCTTCGTACAGGAGTATTGAATACCGGAAACACAAGTCCTATCGAGGGGCTTTGGTCGCTACCATATTGCGAGAAACAAACCACGGTGAACAAACCCTCTGCCCACTTTCTCTGGTTCGGTAACTTGTGCTGGAAGGCAGCGAGAATGACTGGTTTAGCGAAGCGTAAATATTAGTGAGGCGGAAGCTTGCGCGGCACAACCATCCACATACCGTGGCTAGAATAACACACATAGTAGACAGTGCATCAAAAGCAACGAACATTCAACCTTCCAATATAATTTTTCAAGCATGCGTCCAGCAGGAAAGACATTCCCGCAAATACTGTTGAGCGTACAAAATATGGTTGTTTCAATGACGTCAACTCAAACATACTGTAGCATCGAATGGGCAAACTCGAGTGTCCTTAGTTTGGACGAGCACTGACCTAATAGCGTAGGGTGGGTTCTTGTGTACAAATACCTACCTCATTGGACACCCTTCAAACGAATTCAGAGGTCACTGCCTTGTATGTAATGGGCTCTTGTACCACTCCATTCGACACTGGGTACTGATACCACTCGCTTAAACCCACTATTTACCCAGTTTGTCAAATTATGTTTTTGGCCTCAGTTCTTCGGTCATCCTATTCTGAACACGGTACACTGATGGGGCGGGATATTGATGGAGTAATACTGTCACACACTGCCTTGGGATGAGTTGATTGGTAGTTTAAAAGGGCCTTTGTGCCTTTAATTGTCCGGCAAATGGTTCTTTTCAGTTCCCCATCAGTCTTATTTGTCAGGAAGGAATGGAAATAGATTACATCTATCTGTCTGTATCTTCAGGCCAAACTTTATGTGGAGTATCAAGCTGGCTAGATGTTCACATAAATAACTGACTTTACCATGTTTGATAATAGCATGCTGTCGTCTACACGAGGTCAGAAGACCCCCCGTTGGCACTCGTATCCGGCAAATGTCATGCGTTTGGTCAAAACCGGGGATATTGGAAATTTCACCCTGAGATAGCGCAAATAAATGTCAAAAAAAAACGACCCTGTCCAGCTGAATACCCTGTTTATTACGGTCTGCTTCGACTGACGTGCTGCTCCAGGCCGCCTCATGTTTCAGTTGGTATCGAGATATCGCAGTAAATTGTCTAAACTTAGCACACTACGCACGAAGGAAAATTCCTTGACAGCTCATGACCTTCTCAGGATCTATCAAGGAGACGCAGTCCCCGTGTTTCCTTCAACTGTATGAGGTGAAACATAGTCAATTCCAGATTCATGTAGAAATGGGGGTATTTGCAGAAATCTTTCCAATTAGCGTTCATGTGGAACATACCATTCACTAAAAGCTCGATAACTGCGCTTCAGAAGAAGAGCGAAACCGGTCGTGGGTCGCCCTTCTTGGGGCTCCTCGGGTGGGCGCAGTCCCCGAGTCTTCATCAACCCTATGTTCTCCTTGGACCCAAATTGCATGAAATTAGCGAAATACACCCATTTACCTAAACGAGTGCTTCAGTTGGTTTAGGTGATCCTCTCAACAAAACCGAATTGTTTTGCAAATGAGTGTATTTCGCTAAATTTGGACTAGTCAAAGACTAGGATTTAAATACTCCGCAAAATATTCCTATACTTATAGATCAGTTTAGTGGCGTTGATTTATGTTATGTAGGGTCACATGGACAATAGTTCGAGTATAGATTCAAGCTAAAAAATTTCCCATCGCGCTCTATAAGCCATCAGTCAGCAGCAGACTTTTTGAATGGTCAGCTTCTGTGGTTCACACCGCACCGGAACTGGATACGAAGCTTACAATGGTACTCATCGACTATGGTGTTTCTGTCCGCAGTTCGACTAACTCGGTATTTTCTGTTTAGGTGAGATCAAACAATCATCCATGGTGTTTGAGTTATAAGTCATGAGGTTTCCTCTGGGTACTCAGTTCACGGCACCCATTTTGTATTTTGGAATGTGTACTGTACGTTATCCAAGAGGTCACAGCTTGCATGTCGTAGGCTTTGGGCAGTTGTGCACTATCACACGCAAATCGATTGATTCGAGTGACAGAATTTGCACAACGTACACAACCTTCCGGTCCTTTTTTTCTCTGAAAACTTTGCACACATTCTCCGTTAATTTAGGTTAATATGAAAAAAAAACAGATCAGGAGCAATAAGTTGCTTCGTAACGCCAAGTGTTCTAGTGACAAAAAGACTGATTAGCAGGCCAGGTGGCAGACCAAAAGATAAACGACAAGTTGGTTAGGATGTGGGCGAAATTACTTCTCATGTATTAATCAGTAGTCACTTTTGTTGGTTGCCGTTTTCGGTCTTTGGATCCTGCAGTTCGAATGAGTAGCGTGTTCGTCTCCGGGTCCCACTTCTCAATTGGGCATCAAGTGTTAATTTGTGCCTACCGGTTCGACTTGAAGTTCCCCATCCACTGATTTGCAATCCGGGGCAAAACTTCCCAGCTGGTATTTGTTCGACTGACGCATTTCCGTGTGGATATTTGTTGCCATGATGCTCCCTTTATGATTAGCCGATTTGCCTACAGCGTATGACAACCTTTTCTCCCTTTGATGGTGCTCTTTCGGCCCTGAATTTGTCCCAGAGTAGCTTATCTACTCAAGACTGTTAGCGCCAAAGGAAAAACCCAGGGAGACAA